AAGCCTCATCTTTCTCCTGCGGAGCAGCTGGTAGTTTCAAACCGCTGACCTTAAGGTTCGCAGCCCAATTCGTAACCACTACGCTACCAGAGCTCCTGTAGAGAGATTAAATAGTCTGTAGAGAGTTCACCCAACCGAACTAGTTAAATCCCAGAGATAAGAATTTTCTTCATGTTGTTACTGTTGTTAAATATTGTTGAGTTGGTTCCAACCCATAGCAACCCAGTACAGTGTTTCTGAGGAGTGGCTGGTGAGCTTGAACCACTGACTATGCAAGTTCAAATGACTTTGTAGTCTAGGGCATTAACCCACAGAACCAGGTTAATTCACAGTCTCTTCTATTACTGCCTCCCTTGAGTGTAAGGAGAATAATTTATTTTCAATTACTGCCTACTTTATAAAAGTTGAAGGAAATATTAGATTAATTTTTAATGTCTAGTTTGAGAATCTACTCATACTTTAAAATTATGTTTTTCAGTTAAACACCTGAGAGTTTTTAAACATTTCATGGACTACTTCTTTAACATTTATCATTTGGGGACTTAAAGCTATTATTGGACTTTGCATTTTGCCAAGTTTAAAAAACTCTCGGTCATATTGTATTCACTGTTACATTTCATATACTGTGCACATTCTCTGACTCACCAACTTCTTATTTCAAGAGCAACAAATTCTTCCTACCAACACTCAAATGGATAGTTTTGACCAAGGGATTTATGAAGATTTATTGTACATTATTTTGACAGGTTGTTTCTTAGAAGGAAGAGAACGCAGGCTTTAGCTTTCTTGATGTGTCATGTATCTGTGCTGGCTTCTAGTCTCAGCCCTCAAAGAGGCAAGGACTTTTTTTTTTTTATGGATCTTACTCTTGTGCCTCCTAGAAATGAACTTCCTTAGGAAGGAAGATGCCCACTCAGAGACCTGGAGGCTGTAGAACCTTTTGCATAACTCAGAGTTTGAATTTTCGATCTGGATTCAGGACTCAGAACCTGAAAGAGCATGCCCATTTGAAGACCCATGTCTTTTGAGTCATAACTATGTCCTGCCATGGAAAAGTGACCAGAGTACATTGTTGTTGTTGTTAGGTGCCGTTGAGGCTGTTCCAACTCATAACGACCCTATGCACAACAGAAGGAAACACTGCCCAGTCTGCAGCACCCTCACAATTGCTGCTATGCTTGAGCCTACTGCTGCTGCCACTGTGTCAATCCAGTTTGTACACAAGAAAAAGAGAAGAAATGAAAGAAAGAAAAAAAAAGTTAGAAAATATTACTCTTATGAAAGGATGCATTGAAGCCTGCCCCGGTTACACTGATGTCCGAGGTGAACTGGATCAGCATGTACTCTCCAGTAGACCTGATGGGCCCCGGGATTTCTCTGCCACACAGAACTGCTAGTTTCTGAGCCAGGTTACTGTCTCCTAGAACCAAAGAAAAGAAACATCAGGGAGAAAATACAATGTCTGAAGAATCTACTCTACTCCACTGTCATTTGCAACCCAGCCAAAGTGGCTCACCTATGTTTCACAGAGCATGGCAATTCCTAGGAGATAACATGATCCTTAAAAAGAAGGAAACCCCAGGGGTTATGTCATTCTGTCTCCAGCTTGTAATGATACCGCCTACCTTTTTCTTATTCTTGATAAAGACTTCTTTGACAGTTCCCACTATTTTTCTAAAAACAGGCCATCTCTTCTTCCTGGCACTAAAACTCAAAATTAGAGTACATGGGTTTAGGAAATGATCAAGGATCAGTGTATTTGTGAGTGTTAAATAGAATCTCTGTCTTAAAGGAAACTGGTTGTTGAAAGTCAAATATCTAAAAGGGAAAAACAAGTTGCTTGTTCAGGCTCAGCTTCTTTATTAATGCTAGGAGGTCATTCACTAGGAGGTTTGCAACTCTTGCACGACCCTTTCTGCAGTTCTGGAAGGTTTTCTTTTTTGTTATTATTTTGTATTGTTTTGTTGTTAAAAGAACATGTACATGCCCACATATCAATGTACCCACACATGTAGAGGATGAGAAATGAAAGCAAGGGAGATTGTTTCAGCAGACGTGCCCTTCTTGGAAGAATCAAAGGATTGCTGGGGCATGACATGGCTCTTTTGCTGTTTTCTTCTCTTGGTTTTAAGTTACCATCAAACCAGCTACTGTAGCCCAAACCAAAACAGAGCAAAGGTGATTAAAGCAGACTTGTATCCTTTGACTGGGAAAATGCAAGAGTTTTTTCCCCTAAGGCAGAGAACTAATAAATATCAAACATATTAAAAAACAGAAATAGAATATGAGGAAATTTGCCCTTCTACAAAACCAGAAAAATGAATATTTTCAAACACAGGCCACTACTTATAACTCCTGGTGTTGTGCTGTAGGTTAATGTGCTAGACTGAAAACTCGGTTTGAACCACAGGGTCCGCAGTTGAAGCTCACCAGATGCTCCTTGGAAATCCTATACAGTCTCTAGGAGTCAGAACCAACCATATCTCAAATGTTATCCACTCAAGACACATCTTATGCTAATTCTACCTCGTTAACATAACAAAGACAGCCCACTTCCAAATGGGATTGTAACCACAGGCCTGTTGTTGTTCTTGTTAAGTGCCATGGAGTCGGTTCCAACCCACAGCGACCCTGTACAGGGTTTCCGAGGGTGTAAATCTTTATGGGAGTAGAAAGCCTCATCTGTCTCCCGTGGAGCAGCTGGTAGTTTCGAACCGTTAACCTTAAGGTTAGATGCCCGATTCGTACCCACTATGCTACCACAGGCCTAGAGGTTAGAATTTTCAACACATGTTTTGGGAGGACATCATTCACTCCATGGAGTCCTGATGTAGTATTAAGGGATAATGCACTGGACTAAAGGTCTGTTTGAACCATGTCAGTGTTTCAAATTCACCAACTGATCCTTGGAAACCCTTTCCAGGGTCGCTATGGGTCAGAATTAACTTGAGGACACTTAATAAAAACAACAAATTGATCCATAAACAATGGCTGGAACTAAGGGGTGATTTTTCTGTTTCTTTTCTCCATACACATTTGGGGTATTGCTCTGCAGTGAGAAAAGGAAAAGGATAATGCTAATAGGCATCTTGTACAACCTGGGCATCACAATATATTATGTGCTAGAAGGAAGCAAGGCAACAGGAAGAAGCTATCTTTCACAATGATATTTTTCTAAGTGTGGCAGTGGACCAGCAACATCAGTATCACTTGGGGATCAATTAGAAATGCAGATTCTCAGCACCATCAATGACCTGCTAAATTAGGAACTCTGAGTGCTTTAACAGTGCCCCTTGATTTAACAACTCTTTCAACCAGTGGTGAATTTGAAACACTGACTCCTAGAGACTCTGTATAGGATTTCCAAGCAGAGGCTGGTGAGTTTGAACCACCAACCTTGCGGTTAGCAGTCCAGTGTTTATCCTACAGCACTACACTAGGACTCCTTTAGAAATATAAAAGAGATTAAACAAGTGAGAAGAGTAGAGAGATGTGGTAAGAAGATGTCAAGGCACTTGGAGATTTCCAAGGAACCAGGAAACTGAAGCTGAAGAGACCAGGGCCTTTATAGAGAGCTGACAGAGAAAGCCTTGCCCTAGAGCTGACGCTTGTTTGTTAAAGCCACTCATTTGTGGTGTTTCTGTTACTGCGGCACTAGATACCGTTCTATACAGAGATTCAGAGGACTTACTGAATGTACTGGAATTATAAACATTTTTCACATTTGGATCTAACAAACAAGAGTATCCTAGCATGCGATCTCTCCACTATCTGGAAAGTTAAGACTGTATGTCCTGCTTGAGACAAAGGTAATGCTTCCTTTGAGGAACTTTATATTCTTCAGATTTTGAAGCCAATTTTGGCATTCAATGTTTTCAGTGGCCGCAATATCTGTAAAATTCCTTTCAAAATAGATGGAGACAGTAAATTATTTGTATGGTGGTGGTTGAGGTGGTGGTGGTGATGTTCCATGGAGTTGGTTCTAACTCATAGTGACCGTATATAGGGTTTCCGAGGCTGTAAATCTTTACGGGAGCAAAAAGCCTCATCTTTCTCCCATGGAACAGCTGGTAGTTTTGAACTACTGACCTTGATGTTAGCAGCCCGACTTGTAACTACTACACTACCAGAGCTCCTTAAATTTTATGTATAATTATGATTGTTGTTGCGGTTATGTGCTGTGGAGTCGCTTCTGACTCATAGCAACCCTATACAGGAGCAACCCTATAAATCTTTACAGGAGCAGAAAACCTCATCTTTCTCCTGCAGAACTGGTAGTTTTGAACTATGACAGTGAGATTAGCAGCCCCATTCATAACCACTATGCTACCAGAGCTCCTTAAAATTATGATTAAATGTAACTAAATGTGTGTCTGGGTTGAAGTACAGTAGTGTTTTTGTTTTGTATGTTAATTTTCAAAGCTCACCATCTCTTATTACAAGTTGATCATAGTTACATGTCCGATGAGATTCAATGTCCAGGGAAAGGATGTTGAGTTCCACAGTTGAATCAGGAGCCTGGATAAGCCATGTACAGTCAGCCCGATTCTCATAGTTTTCAGGCCACCCTGGGGAGAAAAGAAAGACTGGCGCATCTCCTGTCCTCAGGAACCCACCACAAGCACCTGTAACATGAAAAGTAACACCTTTGAAATAGCTCTTCTGAAAAAGAAATGTTGTACTTACAAGTGACAGCCCTATATGGAAACTAAACAACCAAATTAAAATAACTTCCTTAAAAAAACCCAAGGAATATTTTATTAAACCTACTGATTCAGACAACAGTAATTTCTGTAATATATTTTTTGTGTAAGAAAAGCATATTGTATTCTAGTTTTTCACCATGGTTTTGCCACATAGCCCATTTATTACTGAGTGCCTATTTATTATACAGGGGAGAGCGGTGGCTCCATATGATAAGCACTAGACTGCAAACCACAAGGTAGCAGTTACAGTTCCTTGGAGAAAGATGAGACTTTCTGCTCCTGAAAAGAATTAAAACCTTGGAAACCCTATACAACAGGAGGAACCTTTTTGCTGCCAAAATTTATAACATCATTTGCAGACCACACAAAATTAACAACTTAAAATTTAGCCTGCTATATTTGGTCAAACATTTAATGGGCTTAGCCCTACTGTCATGGCTGGGCTTCTGGTGTTGTAGGATCAGCACTGGACTTTGAACCATAAGGTTGGTAGTTCAAACCCACTGACTGCTCCTTGGAAATGACTCATAGGCTCTGAACAACAATAACAGTGTGATGGCTGGAGTCCTGGTGTGGCACTGTAGGATAAGAACTGGATTGCAAGGTTGGTTTGAGCCACAAGGTTGACTGGTCAAACTCACCAGCCACTCCTTGGAAACCCTATAGGGTCTCTGTGAGTCAGAACTGACTGAAAGACAGTTAACAGTAGCAGCAATGTGATGGCTAGACCTTCAGTTGCCTTGGCAGGGTAAGACAAAAGGATTTTGTGGGCCTTATACAGCCCCCAGGCCAGACATGCCCCATCCCTGCTATGCAGCATCATTATGAGTTGGAATCGACTCGACAACACTTAACAGTGATGAGATTTGTTTCACATGAAGTAAGTTCATTTGTATCATTAGGGAAGAACTATCATGCCTTTATATCTAGGCAATTTTGAATAAAATTTCAATTTGGTAAAATGAAACACACAGTGGCAAGACCTGGGGACTCTTGGGCCCAGAGTCAGTAACATAGCCACAGAGGACTAGAGTGGAGAATGAAGCGACCAGCTAATAAGAAGAGAGGGCATATGCATAAGAACACCCACAATTGCAGATAATACCCACTTGTCCTGGGTTCAATGACTGGATGATCAGAGCTCAACCAGAAGTAAAAAGAAGAGAGGAAAAAAAA